TCCGCCAAGTTCCCAGCAAGTGTTTCCCTCAACTACACACACCAAAAGTCCACGTGGAGGACGCAGGGAGCCGGGCCTACAAGAGACTCCGGAAACCGACCCAAGCGAGGCCCCAAACTACACGAACACCGTAGAACCGACAGCGGTCCCGGCGCTGCCGCCCTGGAGAGCGAGACCGCACGGAGAGCCTGGCAGCCAGACCCTGCCCACGGGGTTGCACCTCCGCCCTGGGTCGGCTCCGCTGTTCTCCCGGCCGGGAGGGGTTCTCAGAACCACCCTGTCGGGCAGCCGGCCTCTCCTCTCCCGGCGGGCGAGCGGCAGGGACCGGAGGGCGCCACAGGCACGTCTCGGAATCACTGCCAAGCACGGCTCGAGGACGAAGAGCCAAGGCGCCCGCACTCGCCAGCACGAACTTCAAATGAAAATGCGCCGCTTCCGAATGCCAGCTCTACAACCAGGGCAAGCGCTCCCAAGGAAGCACAGTGACGTGCGGCCACGTTCTTCAGGAAAATGGGACCCGAACAGCCAGTCCCTCCCAAGAGGAGCAGCGGGGAAGCCAGAGGGGCAGCAACAGAGGCAGCGGCCACCACTCTCTCGGGACCACGGGCTCTGCGGCTGCTCCAAGAGCTGCGCGACGCTGGAAACCAGCCGGACACGTTACGTGTCCATGTGGATTGTCAAGTCTTACTCCTTGCCTTCTTTCCCAGGACATTTGCAGGGACACGCGAGTGTGACATTTCATCCCTGAGAAGTGGGGAGGCACCCGCGCCTCTCTCACCTCTGCCTTCTTCTAGCACATCTCGCTTCAAAGGCCTCCCCGTCTCTCCCCTTCCAAAAGGGGCTGCTTCTGGAGTATACAGACAACTCTGGGGAAAGCTACTTTACAGGAGAGACTGTGGCCCTCCAAAATGCTGTGGAATCCCAAAGCCCCAAGCCTTCCTTTTCCGGAAGGAAACAGGGTCTTTGCTGATGATGAGGTTAAGACGAGCTCAGTAGGGTGGGTCTGAATCCAGGAGTGCTGTGTCCCGAGGAGGGGGAAATCTGGACAGGGACACACTCGCAGAGGGGGCCGGGTGTGCAGACACGCACGGACCATCTGAGGGGGCTGGAAGAGCTGTTCCCTCCCAGGACCTGGTTCTACACTCCGGGCCTCCAAAGACCAAGAGGCACCATTTCCTCTTGTCAGCCCCCAAGCCAGTGGGACTGAGGCTGCCCTAGGCCACCCAGCGGGCCTGGAAGCGCAGGCCTCTCACTCAAGGTGCGCAGGGGCCTGCGGAAGCCCCCCGCCTCTCCTCCCGGGGCCCCACCCCTTCTCCACTCGCCCACTCCTTCTAAGACCGCTCCACTGTCTGAGCAAGGACGGTCTCAGGCACTGGTTCGTAACACACAAACGTTTTATTCCACACGCACAGCCCACGGGCCAGGCCCCCGCTCACGGGCCCGCGGGCAGCCCCTCCGGCTCCGGCCCGCTGTCCTCGCTCAGCAGCTCCGCGCACTCCTCGCTGAGCTCCTCCACATCCCCCAAGCTCGCCTCCTCCTCGCTGGACACAAATTCCAGCTCCTCACTGAGCAGCTCGCCCCGGCCCCGGCTACAGCCTTCGCTGGGCTCATCTTCGCTATAGACATCCAGCTCCTCGCTAGAGATCACATCCAAAACCTCGCTGTCCTCCTCGCTCGCGGCGTCTTCGGCCGAGTCCTCCAACCCGGGCTCCAAGTCCTCACTCTCCACCTCCTCGAAGCCTGGGAGAGCAAAATGACGGGCTCACTACGTCAAACTGACGTCTGGGTCACAACAGTCTGCTACGACCCTCTTTGCGGGAACGCCACTTCCCTCCAAAAGCCCGCTGGCCCCGTGCGACGGGCCGTGTCCCTTCTCCGTGGCTACGGCGGGTGCGCAGACACGGCTTCCAGGGCTGAGACCGTGTATGAAGGGAAAACGGTCTGAACCGAATGGGCCCTCAGGAAACAGCTTTAGGTGCTGAAGTTTGGCTCTTACTAATGTGAGAACAGAAGTAAATAAAAATACTCAGTGTACCGAGACATTCTTAAAAATGACAGTCTTGCTGGGGCTCTAATGACTGTAAGACATTAGTGTTCTGGGGCGCCTGGGTGGCTCAATAGGTTAAAGCCGCTGCCTTTGGCTCAGGTCATGATCCCAGGGTCCTGGGATCGAGCCCTGCATCGGGCTCTCTGCTCGGCAGAGAGCCTGCCTCCTCCTCTCTCTCTACCTGCCTCTCTGCCTACTCGTGTCTGTCAAATAAATAAATAAAATCTTTAAAAAAAAAAAAAGGAAAAAAAAAGACATCAGTGTTCTCTGACCATGTCCGAACTCGGAGTCACTGGGTCCGGTAAAAGCTCAGGTGACCTGACTCAAATGAACGTAATCCCTTCCAACGCACGCTTGGACGAGAGCTCACTCTGGTGTGCCGGCATCTGGGAAAGGATTCCAACAAGATCAGCCGCCCGCAAAGGCAGGACCCGCACCCTCAATCTCCAGGCCGGGGCTCTGTGCGGGTTTGGGAATCCAGGTTAAATTCCTTTCAGGGACGGCTGTGGTCATCGGGGTATCGGCATCAGCCAGGCCCCGGGCCCAAGAGCTCCACCACCACCTAACAGTTCTCACTGGTGCGTTCTGGGGCATGGAACTGTGTACAGTCTGCCCAGTGCCCCTCACATCTCAGTCCTTCCCACCGGCTCGCTCATCAGCTCTTCGAAGTTTTGTCCATTTTCATTTGGAGTCAGACATGGAATTTTATATTCTGATACTCACAAAGTACAGTTCAGAACGTCCCACGTTTTGACCTACTTTTCTCAGAAAGCAGAACAGTAGAGGGAGGAAAAAAAGGGTGAAAAATGAGGACTCAAGTTAAGCACCACTACAAATGGACATCACAGCAGGGCTGAGTAAAAACCGCTGCCGCGGCGGCCACCCCAGCCCTGCATGAAGACCCGACTACACGTACCCCCAGCGGGCTGAACCGTTACTTCGTACACGTAGTAGCCGTGCAGCAGCTTCTTTTCCTGTGTGTAAATCCTTAGAGCCTGAAAATGGAAGTCACCCAGAGCACCTACAAGAATGAAGAAGCGCCACTGTCACACTTGTCACGGGGACACAGAGGAAATGCCCCGTCTTCAATCCGAGCAGCTCGGTCTCTAAAACCAAGGGCCCGGAGTCTACACTGACAGCAAGACTGGTTATCGACTGAACAGGACCCCGAGTCCAAAAGAAGAAATTTCCGCCCAAGTGTGCCCATGTCCACACCATGTCCGTGAGCTACACGTGTACATCAAGATTTCTGTCCACACACACCCCTCACAACTTAGAACATGTCAAGTCCAGAGATTCGAGCAGCTTGTAGTGGGTAAAACACTGTTCACGTCCTCATTTACACCCAATTACAATCTCTACACCTTCTTCTCCCTAGAGTAAGTGCTCAGTGAAACTGTTCCCACCGACTAGTTTCCCAAGGAAAACAAAATCTGGCTACAATTCAACCACTAAGGACTCTTTCCCAAAACCAACCATGAAGCGATAAAGTCAGCCTGGCCTCAGGCTCGGGGATGAGCCTGCTCGCTGCTCCCCCACCCCACGTGCGCTAGGAACCCAAACCCTTGGGGGCAGAGGACCCTTGCCTGGCCACCAGGAGGTTCCCCAACACTGCGCTGCTCCCCCAAAACAACACATGTGCAGTTCTCAAAAGGCTGTGATGAGACACAGAAGTAATTTTAACACAGGAAAAGACCACGAATTCTTTGTTTTCTTATGTTAAGATCTGTTAGGTACATGAAAGCCAATTAACGAAGAACAAACAGATGCATCGCCCACGTTAGCGGGGCCTTCCCAGTACATGCTCTGCAGCAGCAGGATAAAGCTTCGGCAGACCAGGCTCCTCTTCACCCTATCTGAGCCTCACCGTGACGCCTGCGGGTGGGAAAGCTAATCTACGCTTGTCCACTACACGGCTATTCCACAAGTACCCCCTCCCTCCGTCAGCAACTCTCCCCAAGTCAGGCCACACCACAGTGAACAGAAAAATCTCTCTGAACCCCCATCTGAAGTAAACTCCAGGGCCACAGCATCTCACAGGCCCCAATACCTACCGGACATGGCAGCCAATTACTCTTCTTCATGCCCAGGACGGGCAAGGGTCCACTGGTTTCTCCCCCATTATGTGTGGCAGAACCTCTCTTCTGGCTTCCCTCGTGAGGGGCGCAGGTGGTGCTCGGGCTCTCCAGCCAGGCTCCAGGCCACAAAGGATGGAAGCACAGGCTGGGGGCCCCCCAGTGAGCCAATACAGAAATGGCTGCAGCTGGACCTGATGAGCTCCGGCCTCCGAGCTTCCCGGCACCCCAGGGCCTCTCTGGCAGCGGCGGACAGGGAGCTCTCAACGGGCGGCGCACACCTGTGGCCCCCCCAAACCCGCGTCGGAGACACACACGAAAACCTGGCATCAGGCATCAGTGCTAAGAGGTGAGGTTGGCGGGAAAATCCGTTCTGGAAGACACGGCAGCCGAACGCCACGGTCTCCTTTAGCAGAGACTACTCTCAGCCACGAGACCGGCGCGGCCTTGCTCCAGAAACATCCCTTCTTTGCACCGACTGTGACCTCAACAGTCACAGTGCACCACAGTTAGAGCAACAGACCAGGTTTACAGAGCCAATATCCTCTGAGCAAGTCTGCTTACAAGGCCCAGTGTCTACCCAGAACAACTCGGGGCAAATGCACGTAGAACTCCATGCTCAACAGCCAGCAGCACCTCCAAGCCCCCAGCACCTGCATCCTTACCACTAATTGAGAGAAAAAAGGGAGGTTAATTAGAGCCAAACATGTAAGAAAACGAATACTATTTTCACATACGAGGCATTCATTCGGAAACCTCTGCGAGAGGAAGACAAATGGGTTTTAGAACCCCTACGCTGCGTAAACAAAGCTGAACCACAGGGTGCCAGGTGATGAACAGAAAAGGACACGGACATGACCACAGAACAATGAACTTACCAAAGAAGTCAAATGAAAACGGGTCCCTTCCACCAAAAAATTCCCTGAAGACGTCATCTGGGTTACGGAATGTGAAGCCGAAGTCAAACGGATTGTCGAAATGAATCCCTCCTGCAAGATGCAACAGAGCCTTCAGTCTGTGAGTTTTGGTTTTGCGGCTACTTCCTTATCCACAGAACATCCTGTAAATCGGGCTCACACACCGTGGGTGTCTCATGGCCTGTGGCTGGTGGGGACACGCGAGCGTGGGCTTTGCGCTCTGGAAGGGCACAACGTGGCCACCAGCCTCTCTCACCGTCTCCGTAACTGCCATCCACACCCAGGAGGCAGTTTCTCTTCGGTCGTGAAGCATCATGTCCAAGCGCGGAAACATTCACTCGTGCTCGTCACCCCGGTCTGTGCTCAGGCTGTGGCATTCAGTCAATGCCCACCGTCACGGGGACGTCTCATCAAACACACGCACCCGTGTGAGGCCACCGCCACAGGCCGTCAGGGGTGTGCGTACCATCTGTTCTCTAAGCCCTGTGGGTATCCTGACCCAGGATCACGTACTGATCCAGGAGCACAAACTCAGTGTGACGGAGCAGGGCCCTAACAGACTCCGCGTCTACAAAGTGCTTTGCTCACTAGAAAACCAAGAGAAAAATCAACATTTACGTACCTCCACCTCCATTTAACCCTTCTTTGCCGTATCTGTCGTAGATGTCCCGTTTTTTGGCTATAATTAAAAAGGAGAGTCAGTAAAGACCAAGTTCTTTCCCCCTCAATTCACCAAAGTATTTCCAGATTGTAAACCAAAGAACCAATGCAGCTTTCAAGGTTTCAGTTAAAGAGTCAGGCCTCTCTTACTTCAAAAAGGGGAAGAGGGAAAATCCAAGTACATCTCCTTAAAACAGAAAAATTTTTTTAGTAGTAGAGAGTTTAAAATGTGATTATAGGGCGCCTGGGGGGGGCTCAGTCATTAAGCCGCTGCCTTCGGCTCAGGTCATGATCCTGGGGTCCTGCGACCGGGCCCCACGTCAGGCTCCTTGCTCAGCGGGAAGTCTGCTTCTTTCTTGCTCTGCCTGCCACTCCGCCTGCTTGTACGCGTGAGCACGCTCACTCTCTCGCTCTCTCTGACAAATAAATAAGTAAAATCTAAAAAAAGTTATAAGAAAATTTAAAATGTGATTATACATACTAAAGTATTTCTTTCAGTGTGGGAGGCCGCAATAAGGCTTGAGACGAGGACCAAACCAGGCCCTGACTTGTGCCTCTTTAAAGTCCGAATAACCTAACAAAAGGTTTAGGACGGGAAAAGTTGAGCAGCACTGAGAAAGGGTCTGTGCTACGTGTTGTGCGCTCGCCCACGGGACTTCCCACACGCTTGCTAAACAGATGAGAACCATTCGCTTGGGGTCAAAAGTTCACTGCTGGTCCTTGCTGCCCCAGTACTGCTCATAAATTACTTTCAGGTTTGCTGGATCCATACAGAACAACTGTACTGGCATCGGCCGTCTGGCGCCACGAGGTCGCTTATAGTTAAATGTGAAACTTCTTATGGGAACTCGTGGTTGTGTAACTAGGCACAGGTGTATTGCTTCTCCTATCACTATATATACGGCCTTAGTGCTTTGAATAAACTTAGTACTGGTGGACACCATCCTCAGTGCTCCTCCTGCCCCCATCTCTTTGTCTCTTAATTTCTTCTCACCATCCTCTTACCCTCACGTTTCCTGGTCGATCTGTCGCGCTAGTCGCGACATTTCAGCCTCCTGTGCACAGAGCATGCAGCTCACACATACATTAAAATCACACTCCACGTTATAAAACTACTCCAATTCTAAGCGTGTGCCTTCTTACTACCAGGTCCAATTGCAGGGATAAGATCTGGGGCGTGGAAACAGGATGGGGCCTCAATGGGGCAAGAAATCAATGTACTTTTTAAAAGCCAGACAAGGAGCCAACTCTAACCCCGCAGGCTTAATCCCCTTCGAAGAGCAACAGCCCAAGCAAGCCTTGGTGAGGGTCTGCTGTCCTATTTACCTTCTAGAACAAACAGCGGCACTGCAGCCCTGGACGGACAGGCGCCTTCTTTTAATGCCATGTGTTTACCCCAAAACATCAGGTTCTACCAAATTGCGAGGTAAAATAACAGGGGTTACGGGGAAAACGTGCGCACAAGCAAACCACCGAAAGCCAGCTTCCGGCAGCCAGAGCTCCAGTAAGAACGGGAACCACCCCCGGGAAGGTAACTTCCGGGCCGCAGGCTACATAAGAACGTGAGAAACGCTCCCCTCAGAAAAGGGGACAGAAGAGCAACGGTGTAATCTTTATGAGAATGTAAAGGTTCTCTTCCTGACAAAGATCAAGTTTGAATTCAATTTTTTGTTTTTTTTTTAAACCACTTGACTAAAATTAAAAATAGTTTGGGGTCAGTCCTCGATTTCTCTAAAGTTCCTCAAGTGCTGGTTCTGCGCAAATGAGGACAGAACAGCAAGATGACGACACTGAGGTCCGTGGTGCCGCCTGTCGGTCCCGTCAGAAAACCGCTAGCAAGGGCGCGTGGGGGTCAGCGGTCAGAAGCATCTGCCCGCAGCTCAGGCTGTCGTCTCGGGGTCCAGGGCTCGAGTCCTACCTTGGGCGCCCTGCTCGGCGGGGAACCTGCTTCTCCCTCACCGCACCCCTGCTCTTGAGCTTTCTCTCAAGTAAAATTTAGGGGAAAAAATACAAAACCTAAAATTTCTCGGTTTAACACCTTAAAGCTACATTTTTAAAAGATTGCAATTATCAATGTTTATGTGTTTTCTACTAACAGTTACTACCGAAACAAAACATCTGGGACTTCCTTTAAAGTAAAAGAGCTGTATTAACAGACAGAACAGGGATGCTCACGTCTTGTTAGCAGTAAGGAGGAGCGTGGGTACATGGAGTTCTCTCCAAAATCAAAAATGCCTTCCACGGGACGCCTGGGTGGCTCAGTCACTTAAGTGTCTGCTGTCGGCTCAGTCTCGATCCCAAGGTTCTGGGATCAAGCTCCACGTCCGGTTCCCTGCCCAGCGGGACGGCTGATTCTCCCTCTCCTCCCCATGTGTATTCTCTATTTTTGTCACTATCTTTCTCTCAAGCACATTAAAAAACAACAACAAAAAAAACGCCTTTCTCCAGTAACCCTGACGCACGAGGACACACCCGAGGCGGAGGCCCAGGCCCGGCAGCCAGTGGGTACCTCATCCCGGTACCTGGGAGCGGACTCACACCAGGTCATTCCGCGGTGCTTCCTGGCGAGGCGGTGTCAGCAGATTTCCAGTCTTTTTTTTTATTTTAAATACAAAGAGTTTTTGTTTTGTTTTGTTTTTTAAGATTTATTTATTTATTTGACAGAGAGAGATCACAAGTAGGCAGAGAGGCAGGCGGGGGGGGGGGCAGACTCCCTGCCGAGCAGAGAGCCCGATGTGGGGCTCTACCCCAGGACCCTGAGACCACGACCTGAGCCGAAGGCAGAGGCTTAACCCACTGAGCCACCCAGGCGCCCCTTCCAGTCTTCTAACAAAGCTCCACGCTGCTCTCCCAAGCCCAGGACCCTCCCACACTCTCCTCCACCGCGACCTGCGGGCCGCATCAAGCTCACCTTCCGCCCGACTCAGGAGCCCAGGCTAACAGGACTCTCAAAAGCCTGTGCTGTCCAACACCTACGCTCCGGAGCTGGGGCAAGGAACAGACGCCTCAAAATTTGGAAGTCTAAAGCTCAGACATTCCCAGAAACAAAGGAAGTCCTTCCGCACAGTGAAAACCATCCACACGCTAGCCGAGTGAGCTCAGTGGGGAAGAGAGCACTGCACCTCCGTCAGATCGTGGCCGCCGCCACCACATGGTGACCCAGATGGATTCCTGTGCCCTGATCTGTCCCGTCAGTCCTCAGACCAGGCTGCCAGTCCTGTTTAAAATAGCCATCACGAAAGAACCTGCGAGAAGCCGGGGTGCTCACAGCACTCACGGCTAACGGTATCAAGTACCTCCCAGGAACAGGGCGCAAAGCTTCACGAGGAAAGGAAGGAATGTCTTTTCTCAGGGCCCAAAACCTCAGCCAGCCACAGCCACCGGCCCTGGGGAGAGTCCGAGCTCTGGGCAGGTTAACTCACCATCTGATAACACCTCATACGCCTCAGCTACTTGTTTGAACTTTCTCTCTGCCTCTTCTTTATTCTCCGGGTTTTTATCTGGGTGCCACTTCAGTGCCAGTTTCCGGTACCTTGAAGAGAGTCAAAGGACAGTGGTCACATCCACGTGCAGAAACCTAACGGCCATGGAACTTCACGGGGCTGGGAAATGGATGCGGAGCTCAAACTCGTGAGACGCGTACCAATTTCCACAGCACAACCTCCCTCGCCCACCGCAAAAGAAACCAGCTCTCCCATCCACTCTCCCATCCACTGTCCCATCCGCCTCGCAGGCATAAAGCAACTGCTCGAGACACAGGCCCGTGGACACACACGAGGGCCAATGCGTGCGGGGTGCGCAGACCGCGCAGCTGCGGGAGCACAGCAGAGAGAGGCCAGGAGCACGGAGCCGGCCCGCCCGCCACCCCGCTCATCAGTGCACGGCACCATGCACAGAGAGCCCTGCTCCACATCCAGGCCTCCCTGGAGACTCCAGAACAGTCCCGCTGACAGGCTTTTTAGAGACACACACACACACACACACACAGCTCTCTTCTACTAAGCTCAACATCAACACCGCCTCTGGGGTGGGGACTGGACGAACGGGGAAGGGACGCGCCCCTCGGAATCAAGACGGACGCGGAACCAGGCAGCCCTGCTAACGTCTGACAAGCTGACAGAAAGCTGCTGCGGCTCGATTTAACCACAGCATTTTCCTCAAAAACCTCTGGCTGGCCTTCCTAAAATCTGGTTAACGCTGGACTCTCCACAACACCAAGAGACTTTATTTTTCTACCACTATGGACCTCCATAAGCAGTGAGCAGACCACAAGCCCTAAAGCATCACAAATCTTCGCAGTAAGAACGGAGAGCGCATGGGCAAGACCGAGGAGAAAGAGTGTCCGTTCGCACTAGCCGCTGCTGTGAAAACAAGGTACCGCAGGAGAACGCAGGTGCGTGCTGCCTGTCCAGGTTTTGGGAAAGACCGCTCAGTTCTTCCAAGCTCAAGGCACGCTACACGGATCGTAAAGCACCCCTCCCTGTGGGCCTGGAGACCGCAGCCGGACTCACACCAGGACTGAGGACCATGCCAGGCAGGCCACGTCACTCGGAGCAGGGGAAGCACACGGCCGTGACTCAGACACAGATCAGACTGTAGGTTTCTCAGAAGAAATGGGGAGGGTGGGCACCACACACAGTTACTCCTCCAACTCAGGTTTTCCTGATCGCTGCGCACGCACAAAGCCTGGAGTCCACAAAATGGACCGAGAACATGCACCACCACACAGTTCTGCTCATTAAAAAAACAAAAAGCCAGGACGGCTGGGTGGCTCATTCTGTTAAGCGTCTGCCCTCGGCCGGGATGGTCCTGGAATCGAGTCCCACATCAGGCTCCCTGCTCAGCAGGGAGTCTGCTTCTCCGTCTCCCTGGACTCACACTCATTGTCGAATAAACAAAATCTTAAAAAATAAAATGAAATAGGGCACCTGAGTGGCTCAGTCGTTAAGCATCTGCCTTTGGCTCAGGTCATGATCCCAGGGTCCTGGGATCAAGTCCCAAGTCAGAATCCCTTCCCCCCCCCCCCCCACCGTCTCTCATGAATAAATAAGATCTTAAAAAAAAAAAAAAAAAAAGGTGTTCTGTTACATGGCCCATTTCAATAGATAAAAAGTGACAATATCCAAGGACCAGCACGACAGCAAAGATTTATTATTAAATAAATACAGTTACTTACGCCTTTTTAATATCCTCGGCTGAGGCATGTCTCTGCACGCCTAGAACCTCATAGTAATCCACCATGTTTTAACAAGCTGCTGGAGTGAGTCCTGCAATGAGAAACCCATGGTCAGTGACAGGACGGCCAAGGTCTGGTTCTCTGTGGGAAAGGAATACAGCGGGGGGTGGTGGGGGTCACCTCTCCAGAGCACTAATCCCCAGCCGGTCAGGCTGCGCCCTTGTCTGGGAACAGATTCCAAGACTTGTGCCCTAAGACTCCGCTCTGTGCGGGAGGACGAGCTCTGAAAAGCAACCTGAGCTAAGTTAAGGCCAGCGGGGGTGCTGGGGGACGGGGCGGACACCCAACCACCAGCTGTCGGGCCGGCGCGCCAATCTGGTTTTCCGACACGGGCAGTGCTCAGGAGCTCTGGTCACCTCCTCCTCTCAGTGCGTTCCTGGGCCAGGCACTGGGCAAGACCGCACGGCCGCCAGGATGAACACGCTGTCCCTGCGACGTGGGAACCACACAAAGAGCGGCGAGGAGGTGATGCCCCCACTAAGTCCCTGGGGAAGCAGCAGGAAAGGTGACTACGCAGCTATGAGAGCACCTTCACCCTCTGGCTTGAACTCCCATCCAGCCACGAAACAATCAGGGCCCTGCTGTCGACACTAACTGCAGAGCGCCCCGAGAGCCCACGCCTTCCGCAGGAAACTCGCGCCAGGGACCTGCCTCACCCGTGTCCGTGTCACTTCACGGGCAGGACGGTGAGACTCCGTTCGCTTCGGCCACCTCTAACAGGAGGGCCTTGGGTCCCACACACCAGGGATGGTTTCCCTCTGTGAGGGAAATCTAACACATTCCCCTCATCCAACCACTGACCGAGACTCCCCGAGAGCAGGCCTAGCCTGCAATGGTGCGCGGACCACAGCAGGAGAGCAGGCCCGCGGCGGCCTGAGCTGCCCACACCTGAAGCGGGCTTACGGCCGAGTCCCCAGAAACTCAACTACCAGACCCAAGAGACAGTCTTCCTGAGGCCGCCGTGCCAAGGCTGAGTGAGGGCTAAGGTTAATAATGCCACGATTGGGGCGCCTGGGTGGCTCATGGGTTAAGCCTCTGCCTTCGGCTCAGGTCATGATCTCAGGGTCCTGGAATGGAGTCCCGCATCGGGCTCTCTGCTTGGCAGGGAGCCTGCTTCCCCCTCTCTCTCTGCCTGCCTCTCTGCCTGTTTGGTCTCTCTCTGTCAAATAAATAAATAAAATCTTTAAAAAAAAAAAAAAAAGAAAAAGAAAAAGAATGCCACGATTAGCAATTTCCCACTGCTCCAAACAAGATGCTCACACAGCTATTGCCAATGTTTGGGGACCAACCCACAGAGGACAAAATCCAGTATGACATCATGACTCAGCATCTACACATACCAGCCGAGCATTTATACAGAAACCCCGTATTTAAAAGGTTCGAAGGGGGCGCCTCAACGGCTCTGTCTGATGGGCAGCAGGCTTCGGTCTCGGCTCAGGTCAGGATCTCAGGGTCATAGGACTGAGCCCCACACCGACTTCCTGCTCAGCCAGGAATGCGCTTGGCTCTCCTCCCTCTGCCCATCTCCCCCCATCCACGCTCTCCCATAAAATCTAAAAAGTAGTAATAAACGGTCAGAAGCAGCACATGACATCTACTTGTGGGGCACCTGGGGACGCAGTCAGGGAGCAGCCTTCTGCTCAGGTCATGGCCTAGAGTCCCAGGACCAAGTCCTGGGATTGAGTCCCGCATCGGGCTCCCTGCTCCTCCTCCTGACCCTCCCCTCTCATGCGCTCTCTCATTCTCTCACTCTCAAATAAATAAGTAAAATCTTAAAAAAAAAAAAGAAAGAAAGAAAGGAAGGAAGGAAGGAAGGAAGGAAGGAAGGAAGGAAGAAACCCACTTGCTGCTAGTCCACGAGCTCAACAGAAGAAATATTCCAAAACCACCAGGGGATGATCTAGGACAGACCCCCACCACCCTGAGATACCTAGAAACATGGAGTGCAACCACGCGTCTGAAGAGGCTGAGCTGTCGGAGAGGCTCCGGTGCCAGGAGCCAGCAGGGAGGGGACCCACAGGTGGCCCTGCTGTGCCGTGCGAGGGTCCCGTGTCCTCAGGACTGGAGTCGCTTTTGGCTGCACTGAAGACCCACACGCCGCCCCCCGCCGTGGCTCCCAAAGGGCTGTCATTACAGGAAGGGGAGGAGAGAGACCCTCCCCAGCCCGCCGGGAGAAGGACGAGGTGCCCCGCTGCACCTGGAGTCTCCTTTCCTTCCCTCCCCCAGCCCTGCAACCAGCCTTCCATGCGCCGTATCTATGGAGTTCAACTCCCTTGGATCCCACACACGAGGTCACTGCAGGATTTGTGTCTGGCTTGTTTCCTGGTGTCACTCCTCCAGGTTCATCCACGCTGTCACCAACACCACGGTTTCCTTCCTTCTAAAGGCCAACTAGTATTTGGTTCCCCAGGGTCCTGTGGTTATGTATAGGGCGCGCCGAGTCGTGAGCTGTCCCGCCGGCCCAGAGGGGACGCCGACAGGCCACCCGCGGGGGTATGGAGGCACACAGAGAGGGACACACACCAGAGAAGGTGGGTCATACGTGCCATGTGTAAGACCCGAGCTCACAGCCACGGGATTGGGTGCTGGGAGAACTGGGGATGTGTTGTCCCAGAGGCACAGCCGTGCTGGGACGCTTCTGTTCTGGCGGGTCGTGCAGTCAGCGCGGTGGTTAGGGCTTCAGAGCCGCGGGAAAGCCCGACCTACAGTACGTTCTCAGCACAGGAACGACGACGTGACAAAGGGAAGGCCGAGGCAGCTGGGGAGGAAGGACAGTGCAATACAGAAACGTCTCCAGTCAGTCCCGGCTCAACACAAATGAAGACACGACAGGCGCAATCCTCAGTGTTCCACGGACAAGAGCACATTTAATTCAAACACCTCAGTAAACACAAGAACTGTAACTAAATGAAGACTAAAGACATCCTAAAAGTCAATTTTGTTTTTCCAGTTGGACACACAACCGAACCTAACACTGTACGAGTTTAAGGAACACACTATGCGTCGTAATTCCACTCAGTTCTTTTAAAAGCGCCACGGTCTCCAAGCGATAGCAAAACTCAAACTCCAAGGACATGAAAGAGACTCAAGGCAAACACCAGAAGTTTCCACAGCGACGTGACTCTCAAGCAAGGGCAGAATCTCCATCAGGAACCAGGCCTTCCTACAGAGAAGAAAAGGGCAACAACACGGCCTCAAAACCTCCAACTGAGAACAGCATCACAAGCCAAACACCACCTTCAGGATGGCAGAAGCTGCGGGGCAGGAACCAGTGGAACTGGGTACCGAGTTCCGGTGCGGGAGGGGAGCCGGCCATAGCCGTGGATGCTGCAGAAGTGCGCACAGAAAAATGCTTCTCAAGACGCACTTCAGGTCACACAAAACATAATTACTAAGATTTACAAACAGGGACGCCTGGGTGGCTCAGTGCGTTAAGCAGCTGCCTTCGGCTCAGGTCACGATCTCAGGGTCCTGGGATCGAGCCCCGCAGCAGGCTCCTTGCTCAGCGGGGACCCTGCTTCTCCCTCTGTCTCTGCCTGCCACTCTGTCTGCCTGTGCTCGCCTCTCCCTCCCTCTCTCTGACAAATAAATAAATAAAATCTTAAAAAAAAAAAAGAGAGAGATATGAAAACTTTAAAAAAAGAAAAGAAAACATTTACAAATAAAGAGGCACCTGGGGGGCTCAGTCAGTGAAAGCATCTGCCTTTGGTTCAGGTCATGATCCCAGGGTCCTGGGATCGACTCCCACACTGAGTCCCCAATCAGGCTCCCTGCTCAGCGGGAAGCCCACTTCTCAATCTCCCCATCCCCCCAGCTTGTGTTCCCTCTCTCACAGAATGTCAAATAAATAAAATCTTTTTTTGGGGGTGCGCCTGGGTGGCTCAGTGGGTTAAAGCCTCTGCCTTCGGCTCAGGTCATGATCCCAGGGTCCTGGGATCGAGCCCCGCATCGGGCTCTCTGCTCAGCAGGGAGCCTGCTTCCTCCTCTCTCTCTCTGCCTGCCTCTCTGCCTACTTGTGATCTCTCTGTCAAATAAATAAATAAATCTTTTTTAAAAAAATCTTTTTTTTTCTTACATTAAAAAAATAAAAGGTACATCCACAGTCACGTCATTTAAATGAACCTCTTCTCACGGACATAAAATAGGGCCCTGCAGCTAACAATCAGAAAATCCAAGTTCCTGGGGCACCTGGCTAGCTCAGTCAGCAGAGCATGTGACTCTTGTTGTCCGTCCCACACTGGGACTTCAAAATAAAATCCTTAAAAAGGAGAAGGGGGAGGAAAGGAAAGGGAAAAGAGAAAGAGAGAAAACTCATGTTCTTACCAAACATGCCAATTTGGCCAAGCAAAACTTACAAACGTCTAAGCTCTGGAATGCTTACAAAAACAACGGAATAAAAACAGAAAACAGTATCACAAAACCAGAACCGAATGACTGGAAACAAACCTCGTTTTCAGAAAGCCCCTGGATCGAAGATCTCCTGAAGGAAATCGGGTTATATTTAGGTGAAATGCATCCATTTGATCACCTGACGGAGAAATTTAGAAAGAAAAGTATAACCTCAAATACAGCAGTATAAGTTCTAGATGCTGGAAAGTTAAGAACTCAGAACAGACCTGAGTAAGACTTGCCATTTAAGGGGCGCCTGGTGGCCCAGTCACTAAGCATCTGCCTTGGCTCAGGTCATGATCCCAGAATCCTGGGATCAAGCCCTGCATCAGGCTCCCTGCTCAGCAGAGAGCCTGCTTCTCCCTCTCCCTGATGCTCTGCCTACTTGTGCTATTTCTGTTGAATAAGTAAATAAATAAAATCTTAAACAAACAAAAAAAAAACATCAAAATATGTACTCTTCTTAAAGAGATTCCCAGAATTTTTTATATTTATTTGAGAGAGAGTGCATGAGAGGGAAAGCAGACTCCCCGCGGAGCAGAGAGCCTGATGCAGAACTCAATCCCGGGACTCCAGGATCATGACCTGAGCCAAAGGCAGTCATTTAACCAACTGGGCCCCCCAGGCGCCCCCCAGAATTTT